CCCACAGTAACATTCCGTTTTATGTTCTCCTTGACCGGAATGCCTTCCACGGTGTTACCTTAAATTCGGGGGGAGTTTAATGAACTTCAGTGAAGTAAAAGCGTCACCTCTTTTTTCCCTGTCCCAGCGTGCGTGTCAGACCTCCTCTCGAGCCGAACAAACGATCAACGCACAGTCTAGACGACCCGCACCGAACAGAAACTCAGCTTCTAGAGCTGAGGTATGTGAACATGTTTTTTGTTGACAGAAGAAAATATGAAAAATTTTGGAATTTGCCCCAGAGCCAAGTGACCTTTCAGGTCACTAGGTCGCTAGTAAATCAAATGTATATGATTAATTCGCCTTTACGAATCAAATTAGCATTGTAAACAACCGTCCAGCTGAAATGAACGGAATTTTCTTTTTCTTGTCCCCTAGAACCACGTATGAGGACATCCTTTCGTGGTCCGAGTCGTTTGACACCCTCATGAGGTGCTTCACTTCTCCGGACGGTGCAGGTATGCTCATTCCTTAATTATTGACTTCTGAAAGTGTTGAATATGGAAAGAGATGGCAAAGAGCTTGTCAGTGCGTGGCCGAGGATATAGTAAACCCACTTCTGGTTGTCAGAACGCTGGCCCTTTTGAGTTAGCAAGCGAACTCACACCCATGGATGGAGATGGTTGTGGAAGAAATGGCGGGGATAGAATGCTTTGTCACCAAAAGGGGTGATTGAAGAGTTCGGAGTAGATGGAGGTACATCTGAAACACGCATTGTTCTTGTGTCTACCTGTGTTGCAGTGGGTCAGAAAGCCTTTCGAGAGTTCCTGCGATCGGAGTACAGTGAGGAGAATATCCTCTTTTGGTTGGCCTGTGAGGACCTTAAGCAGGAGACCAAACCCGAGGTGGTGGAGGAGAAGGCGCGACTCATCTACGAAGACTACATCTCCATTCTGTCGCCTAAGGAGGTTTGTTCCCTCCCTCTCTCCCCACTTATTTTTTGACAATAGATGCCTCACTGTGATCATGTTGTTTTCCTGACGTTGGTAAGTATAAGTCCATCGAAAAGCCTACTGGTGGGTGTTGTAGGTGAGTCTGGATTCGCGGGTTCGTGAGATGATCAACACGAACATGACCCAGCCCACGCCGCACACTTTTGACGAGGCTCAACTACAGATTTACACCCTGATGCAGCGCGACTCCTATCCTCGATTCCTCAACTCGAGGATCTACAAGGACCTGCTTGCCATGACGAAAGGCGACAGCTCCTAGGATATTAATCTGTCCTTCCAATTTGTACATTCAAACCACCACCACTGCCGTCACCTCCCCTATTCCCCCGCCTCCACCGCCAGGCTGGCTCTGGTGACTTGAAATTACCCTACTTGTTATAAATCAGTAGACAATTTATTTTACTCATCTCCTCGCTAATGTTGATGATTCCAAATTATTGTGATATTTGTCCTGCCAGTGACAACCTCAAACTTCCAACTTCTTTCACTTTCACTCCTTTGCTCTTGTCTTCTTATCTATGGCGTGGCTATTTTAAGTGGCTGTGCGTATTTCCCAGGAAAGAAACTAACCTCAGCACCCCTCCTACCATTGTTAAACTCTTGTCTCGCCCTTTTACCGCAACAATTAACATTGTCTTCACACCAACACTGTACCTACGAGGAATAAAACTGATAGCCTCTGTGCGTATTCTTCCCTTCCCCCCCCCCCCCTTCTCTCAAGATGTGTAGGCGATATGCGTCGGCGACCAGTTCATGAAGGTGGAAGCAAAGCGATGCCCTCAACGGAGAAATTTAATGAAAGTCTGCAAGACAAATAACCACCATTAAGCTTGGAAGAGTGGCCGTTTCGATTTGTGCGGAACTTTTGTGCCAAAAAGGTGAATCAAATAGAGGAAGAACCTCCCCCTACGTGAATGAAGAGAGACTCACATCAGGCAGTACCAGGTCCTTCAAACCCTGCCATGCAGTTGACAGGGCTAGACCCTGGATCCACTGACATAGGTGTAAAATGTTTTTCGGCCTCTGGGTCACGCAGAAGACAACCCAGAGGGGGGCGCCGAAAACGACTATTGGAAAGAAGGTCGATGAGTGGGAAAAAAGGGCTCGACTATGTAAGTCCTCAAGGCTCCGAAGTTTCGGTTACCATCTTGGCACCGTAGCCTTTTGTTCATGTCGGTAGCCATCTAGTCGTTTATTTCCCTATGCTTTCTTGCGTCTTCAAAGATAACCTGGAGCGTTACAGCACAGCACGCGATTATACAGGCATCGCCGATCTCCAGCGATTTGCAATTAACCACAAAAATATGGCAAGTAGCTATCATTAAATCCAAAATTTTACACATCTGTACAGTTGTCTGGGGATCGAGGTCGAAGGAGAGGGAAAAGGGGGAGCTACAACTCAGCGCACCTTGACGTTGAGATGCGTTTCAGCGAGTCTACCGACTTCCTCATGCAAAGGACGCACCTCGCGCATGGTGAGTGTGCGACTGTGATCTCTGTAAACAATGCGGTAGCAGTAGCTCACTCGGGCATTCACCTTGTCCTCGAATCGGTCAATCAGTGTTACCTTAGGAGGAAAACGAAGTATAATTCGTATTAAAAAAGAAAAGAACAATTAATTATGCCTTCCTACATCAGCTTCGTGCTAAGAAAATAGCCCAACACGTTCCCTGACTTCACGAATACGCATGGTGTGTACTCCTCATCGGTTTATAAAAAAAGCAGTTTTCTTGGACTGGGGTTAAATTAACTGCCTTTCACCCGCGATTGAAGTGATCAATTCGGTGGTGTGCGTGTCAGTGTCATTAGGTCGAAGGGCAAGCTGGGCTGTTGTGGCCGACTTTCTTTTGAGATCCTGGTATCGAACGTGACAGCACACACAGACAGGATGAGGTGACTTCTGCTCGTACCAGAAAGTCATCACATGACACCATATCACACCTGCCATTCCTCCCCTTTACCGTGCATGTTTCTCCCAGCCCAGTAGTGTTCACGTTTCAGAACTTCGACAGCCTTCTTGTCACTCCCGATCACGTCAGCCGTCGGACCACAGATGCTTACTACATCAATGAACATGAGATGGAACTCATGAAGTCCGGCCTCAATGCTTTCGTCACCGTCGGAACGACATCGACGCTTCACACTACCCTGCGTTTCATCATCCGAAAGGGGTTCGCCTCTTTGCCGAAAAGGATGTCCATCTCCAGGAGGGAGAATAGGGTGATATTCACCACCCATCCTCCGCTTTCAGTTGTTCAAGAGCACACATTGAGAAAATTGCAGACCCCTTTCGGTGGTCAATTTCTTCTAAAATGCACTCCAATCGTAAAAATGAACATTTAAGATCTGAGAAGAAAGTCGACCAACACAGCCCAGACGCTTTATTACTCCCAACACTTTCACCACTGGAATAAACAATTCCTCAGACCCTAGCGAGTACTTCTTGAGGCTTAACGTTGAACATGGCCCTTCAGCAGCTGCAGAAGGTTATTGGTCACCTCATTGGGTGCTCGTTTGCAATTGTTACAGCGGCGTCTGACTTCCAGTCGTGACTAGCTAGCTGGACTTGCGCGGAAATCTGCACCTCTCTCGCCGACACGGTCACTTTTAAACATTTCAACCAACTCATGGGCAATTCAAGGAGAGTCCGCACACACATTCTGCCCACAGGGCACTATTCCTCCCAATTTGGTGTCTCGGTGGCTGACCTGTTCGACAAGATCACCGACCACACCCCTGACAAGTTCAAAGAAGTCTCGTTCGAACTCCAGACGATGATCAGGCGTGGCGTAGGGCAGCCAGAAGGAGATGTCCAGAGGGCACGGAGGGAATACACTTATTGGCTGCAGGAGAGGGAGAGAAACTCGATTAATCCACTGTAAAATGTTGAGCACAACTACGAGTAGCGTTTAAGTCAGACTGGAGCTTTTAAACCTAGGAAAGGATAAAGCATTTTTCAAGGAATGAGAGCTCTAACTTTACCCTTCACCGTAGTTTCCGTTAAGTCCATACGCATACCTCACCTTACACGCTAACACTTCGGAATTACCAATTTTCGTAGAGGATGAATAAATTTCTGTTCAGCGCGAATGCGCCACTACTACTGCAGTCTGGAATCTTGATCAACGGTGCGTCTAGTGGTCTGCCCGACTACTATTGATAAGAGAATAGCTGCAAAATTTGAGGTCCTGGTTTAATATGAAAGACTCTCGTATCATCTGTAGTATTCGGATGAACCATAAATCATGCTTTGGATTCCCAGTTAAATATAACAGTAAAAATGAATCATTCCGAAAAGATAATCGCACTTGGTGTAGATAGGGTAAATGAAAGACCCTGCCTTGTAGGTGATGGATTCGTTGATAGTCTCAACTTTGAATTGATGTAAAAAGCCCGGATCCCTGGACCAAAACAGTCGAATGTCTGGAATACTGTATAGCTTCATTGCCCACCGCTCCAGCCCTAGTCCAAACGCGTAGCCCACCCTATTTGTCACTCCGCCTAACAAGGTCGAGCAAAAACTGTGGGGTGAAGTGCACGCGAGTATCAAGAACAGCTAACAACGGGGACTAACCGTGGTCGATAATCTCTTGACGCAGAATGCCACAGCCTAGCATCTCTGTCCATCCGTCAGAATCAGCACCGGTCATCACACCTGTCTGGATCTCCAACTCCCACGAAGGATGTGTAAAGGGGAAATACGCCGGCACCCATCGCATTGGTACATCTGTTGAAAACAATGGCGTTTGTTTAAAAGGTACAGTTCGAACTACTCACTCACCCTTGCCGAAGAGATGAACAGCAAGCTCCTCTAATATGCATTTCAGTTGGAACTCTATACAATAGGCGGTCTCAAGAGTATGACGAGGCTGCCTGCCAAGAGGGAGTTCAGAAGAGGGCACGGCGACAGAGAGGGGTTGCAAGACTTCCGACGTCGAATGCTCAAAGAGTTTAAGACATCCACTCGGATCTACCGTGTCCTTAAACAGCTAGAAGTGGAAAATAGGAAGTGAATATTACTCCATTCTCTCTCCTAGCGACGAACCTCCTTTTCAGTGAAGAGGCGAACCCCTTCCAGCTGATGAAATGCAGGGTAGTGTAGAGCATCGATATCGTCCCGACGGTAAACATCACCGACGGTGACAAAAGCATTGAGGCCCGACCTTATGAGTTCCATCTCGTGCGCAGACGTGTGGCTGCGAAGAACGGTGTGCTTATTAATATAGTAAGTGTCCGTGGGCCGACGGCTGACGTGATCAGGAGTGACAAGAAGACTGTCAAAGTTCTGGAACGTGGACACTACTGGGCTGAGAGAATCATGAACGGAAAAGAGAGGATGAGAGGTGCCGATTCCCTCGGCATTTTGATGTGCCGGACGCTAAAAAGGGACGTTTCTATATTACACCTTTGAATAGACAAAAAATTGTGAGAAATATGATTACCTTGTTTATAAATTCCGTAATCCGGTGTTTGAGCAACCATAGAGGGTGGTATTCTTGATTATGCAGGTTTCGTGCAGTGAGATCAAGAATTTTGGGGGATATGTTGGACCAGGAGTCAGTTTTGTATAGCTTTCCAAGGATGTTAACCCCCTTTTTTGGTTCATCTGATGATATTAAAACGGAAAATTGGCATCTTTTCTATAAATACGAAACCAAAAGGGATAAATAGGAATTAAAAGCGATAACGACACAATGCCTTCGAAAACCAACCCACACACGAGGTAGAAATGTGGTTTCGTGGAAGACACAATCGCAGGACTCTCATAATTGAGCTAAAAATACAAGGTAGTAAATGTAGTTAGAATTGCATCTAAAATAACAACGAAGTTTATGGGAGAAATTGCAATTAACGACAGCTCGCATGCAAGTGATTACAAAAAAATAATGTTCTGGGCCATTTGTGAAGAATAAGAAGGACATCATAATAAATAAACCCGTGTGACAAATAAAAACCACCTAACTGAAAACCACACGCTGCCTATAGGGCAGCCACCGGGGATTCGAAAATACGCTTTCTTACATCAGATGGAATAAACTTCGGCTAAGCCGAAGTAGTTTTTTTGTATTAACAGGCCATAGTCTCTATTTTGAAGGTTATTTTATGTGAGATATGTCAAAGAAGGAATCCAGGTGCCCCAACTTACTGGGTCAAGTGCCTACAGAGTGCTTTCTCCCTTACTGCTTCTGTGTTGTCCCATATCCCATGTTTAGGTCCAGGCTTGACTATCTAATGTGTCCATCACACACTAAACTCCTTAAAATAAAATGGTTAGGATGTGTACCGAAGAACTCACTGTTTGCTGACGCTATTAAAGATCCCGACACATGCCTAAACCTACAAGTCCTAAAATATAATTACCGCTTCTAAGAGTAACACCAAAAGACTACTCAAAACCAGTATTATGACCTGGTCAGTCATTTTTGGGGTTCCCCGGTGTTCGCCATCAGATTAGTTCCCTCACATTTAAGTACTTTAAATGGAAAATTTTGGAAAATAATATGACTGGGGGATGCGCCCCAGTTTTTAGACTTAAAGAGACGATTTTTAATATGCTATCCCGCATAACCTTGGACTTGTATCCAATCTTTAAGGCGTTATAGCAAATTCGACAAAAGTGTCTACTCAATGTCATCTAAATTTATTTGTTTAATTGACGCTAATATCGAAAACATTTCTGATGTCCCATTTCTTGATCACACAGAAACCGTTAATTTGCACTTCAACAAGATACCTCACATTGGACGTGGCGTTTTCCCAACTTCGTTAATTAATTTGGACTTATCATCGAATTTTTTAACAACTTTTTGTGGAGATGAAAGCCTTCAGAATCTTAGACGATTGAACTTAAGTGCAAATAACATCAAAGCCGTCAGAGACTTTGGGTATTTGAGGTAATATGTTTTTGTACGTCATATTTCAACACTTCTTTTTGCTCTAGTAGGATGTGATCAAAAGTTATGTAGTTATCTTAATGGGTTTCGTTGAACCTTTTTAAATGATTTAGTAATCTTCATGTTGTGCTTTAATTTCTATATCTGCGAAATTACTGTAGGTGTTATTTAAGTATGTGGTTATCTGTTGCCTAAACCTTCTTTAACGGCTTTTTGGACGTATTTTAAGTTCCTTAGTTTACTTGGATTTATCCTACAATCAATTGAAGGATCTGTCCGACTTGCGTGGAATTCATGACCATCCACTGACGTATTTGGACGTTCGTAGCAATAGGCTGGCATCAATTGGCGATCTGATAAGAGATTTATCGGAATTCAAGTGCCTCAAAGATCTCTTAGTGGCTGATGAACCACTGACGGTGGATGGTAATCCCATTTGCAGTTTTAGGGATTTCCGAGCAATCTTATTTAACGGATTGCCTCAGATTCTGAGAGTCGACTCTTTTTCCCGTGAAATCATTATAAAAGCCCCCTCAACCATAGAAGCAGGTACTTTAGTCAATATAAAAGAGGAGAAGAAAATTCCACTTATTTTATTACCTGTACTACCCTTTTTAGGCGGCATGTCTTTGGGTGACATAGACGTACCATGCAAGGTACACCAAGTTCGCAAAGTTGCATTTGCCTTCTTTTAGCGATAATATGCATGATACGAGTTCTCTCTCGGCTTACTGCTTTCTTTTAGGAAAAATCTTCTTGCAACTTTCAACCAGACAGAGAGAATGGATCCCATAAGGTAGAACAACCTTTAACCAAAACGATTCGACACGTAATGATCCAAGTTAGTGTTGACAAACGGGAGAAACGAAAATTGGCACAACAGTTGGCCAAGGTGCTAATGAAAGCATTTTTTTTTCAATTTTTCGAGGTTTTGTAGGGCTTGTGACAGTTAGTGTTGGAATTTTTGCAGCATGCTCTGAGGTTCCGGGTTCATCTTGCTATCAGCCTAGCAAATTTAAAAGTCGTATGAATTTTCTATGCCCTTATTAATCCTGTCTAAAAGGCCGATTCGATCCTAGTTCAGATTAAAAGCTATCACCTTAGAATAAAGGGGTTTATAGAGCTTGCATGCGACTAAGAGTAAGTCACATTTGCCTTTTTAGATAACAGCAGAACTGGACATGGAACGTAGCCTTAGATCCAAATCAGAAACGTTTCAGGAATGTATCATAAATAAGATAAAGGATCTGGGAGAAAGAAGTGCGCTACCGGTTTGATTTACTCGGCTATGTTATATAAATTGGTAATTTCTCCCCTCCTAAATTTTCCAGATAACCAAAACCTTGACCTTACTCTGGACAACCTCAAACTGAAGGAGCAACTTCATTCGGAAACTCAAAACCGGGATCTTCTGGAAAAACGCTTGGGAAAAATCCTGGTGGGTTTTTCAAGAGATGCTCAGAAAGGCTTTTTCCAAATCAACCCACCACTTTTTTACTTCTGGTCTTTTTCTCCTTTTACAAATAAGTTTTAAAAGGTTGAAGCTACGCCCGTCTTTTACGCGGATCTCTTGGGCATTTGTACACCTATCTGAAAAGAGGTAGTGACATAGCAAGATTTGTCAGTACGGTAAAATTATCCTCGGATAGCCAACTCCCTTCACTCGACTTCAGCATGTTTTCACTACCTAGATGGTTTTTTTCCATTTCGATGTACCCAGGTTTCGTAACATATGATGATGTAATCTAGAGAATGTTGACCAGGATTATCACTGACGTTGGCAACATTTATACTGCTGTTTCACTGTAAATTAAACATCCACTGATGGGAATTTTACGCCTTCGTTGAAAAAGGGATTGGTTCATGATCACACTCTGTTGCATACAAAAACACCGTTACTATTGCGACTGCCTCCCTGCTATCTTGAGTGAACTGGTCCGCAACAGCTGCGCTGGCTATGAAGAATGGGAACAGTTGGCGTCTGATACCTATCGCTGCATGTAGTGAGGTGATAGATGCCTAGTATCTGTTTAAACAAGTCCCGGTTTAACTTAAATGGCTTCCTATTTGAGTTAATTTTTCATTACTTGACTTTTTTACAGATCTGAAACTAAATTCCTTTTTTACGTTATCCAAGAAACAAATGCAGGACAACATCCAAAGCCTTGACGAGGTAGTCACCCTAAGAATGGATTGGAATCGTCTCTGTTCAGATGCAATAGCTCACCTGGAGGCCAAAATGGTTGCTGATGAATCCACGGTGGGTTGGCAGATTTTGAAAGGCGGGGGGGGGGGGGGGAGGAGACTTCTTTAGCAGCCCGATGAAAAAGTTTCCTTTTTAGTTGAGGAAGTCCCTATCGAGGGCAGAAAAGCAGAAAGTGGAGAGGCTTCTCCAAGATCGAATCGCACGAGCCTGTGAGGCGGTACGAAGACAGGCCGATGTTGAGTACGTCATCAATTCTTTTGACTTTGAAGAGCAGTGTCAACGTATGACATGTGCTACTCACTTGCCCAACAGGTTTCGTGACCTCCTTCACCAAGTTGATGTCGTAGGTGCAGACAATACATTTCATCATCACTAACATCAAGCCCTAGCAACATTTGTTTTGATAGACTCATCTTCCGTTTTCATGTTAAAGAAATACATAATTCTTTTTCAAGACTGTGGGGTGTTTCTGAACTTGATCTATCTATCTCGGACTGATTCATCTTCGATGTTAACTTTCTCGTCTAGGCTGCTCCTGCGTGGTTAGCTCTGCCACCTTCCCCGCTGGCTAATTCGCGGGCCTGACAATACGCTTCCACAATTTTGGAATTGGGATGATTTTATTTTTTTTTGAAATACTGTAGTAGAAAACTTTGGGTCGCACCCTGTCGCAAGAATGACCTTGTTTGTGGTTTTAGGAAGAACTAATCCATGAACTAGTTTTTTTTCTCCAAATTTACAGACTAGAAGCTGCTCAAAAGAGGTACTCCCGATTGGAGGCCGAATTCAGATTCGCCCTTCACTCCGAAAGCCAACGCTACAGCCAGGTGAGTACTCTGAAGACCTACCTTTCCATCAACGAGAGCCTCTTTCTTGAAGAAAAGGATTATCTTAATTCTAGGTGTCCACACGTGCTATGACTGCGGAGAAGACATTACAAGAACAGAGGAAGAAACTCCACGCAGCAAAGAAAAATTTGAATTTAGCGGCAACCTTAGTCAGTGGTTTGAAAAAGGTAGGGATTTTTCCCATCGATAAATTCATATAAAATTTGAGATTCGGCGTTGGAAATAGACTTAAAGTTTCAAATAAGAAGAACTTGTGTAGCTCCCCTAATCTTCCCTAAAGATGAAAGAAGATGTGGTACTAGGTCAGAATATGTATTGTCGACGTGCAGCAGGTCTTGGGACTACCAACATGGCCCGGAGGCCAGAGCATCAGGGAAATGTACGATGTTGGCGCCCCTAAGTGGTTCGCTGCTAGTATTGAAAGCTAAACAGCCAACCTATTACATTGCCTACCTCCTCTTTTGAGCGTGGTCTCCGGTACTCCCCTCGGCCAAGATACTGGACTGCAGCGTCACTGGTCCCTCTTGGCAAATCCACTACATCTAGAGTTTCGTCTTGTATGGAAAGTGTTTTGAAGGATGAGAGGATGGGTTAACCATCGCATATGTCCATAGCTAGTCGTGGGAACATTGGTTCAAAAACCGAGTACAGTTGACAGCCCCGTAGTGTACTTCTCCAGTTGTTAATAGCTTTCCTGCAGAACTCGGAATTGTAGTAGTTTCCGAAGGCAGACGTCATTTTTAAATATTCCAGTGGTTCACACAGGTCCTCACATTCGCAGTATATGCACTCCATCCGACCTGCTAAGGTTTATCGGGACGGTTGCCCTTTAAGATCGGGTTAGCTTTCCGCTACCACTAGAGTAGCGCTCCAAGACTTCCCTGAAGACTAACGAAGGCATAATATTTGAACAGAATGTGTTCTGTCGACGTACAGTCGGGCTTAGGGCTATTGGTATGGTCGGAGGTCAGGCCACCCGGTGGTAGTACAATGACGGAGTCCCTCAGTGGCTCTCTACCAAGACCGAGAGTTAAAAAAACTGTGTTTTACGCTTTGACGCCAATTGAGACAGAGTATGAAACTGGACAGTGTCTCTGGAAAACCGACGGTTTCCCTTGGTCAATTACATCACTTCAAGTCTGGGCACTCTCTCTAACACCTAGATGTAGATAGTTGATTTGCCCCTGTGGCCTCAAAAGCGATGACAAAGTAATTAGTAAATCTCGGGAAGCAGAAACCGCACTTTTATTCGACACAATCTGCTTGTCGCACTTACTTACCCATCTTAAGAGTCCAGCTAGCGTCTGGAGAACAGCTTTGGTATTGAATGATTTGTCAGGACAACTGAGCCGCCCTAGGATAGTCGAATTGGCTTTGCTATCGGCATCCACCGCGCAATACCCTCTTAAAATTGCTAATCTCTGTCCGTGAGGGGGCTGTTTCATTTCTTGTACAGTTTCCTCACGTGAAAAGCATGTCAATTGGGTGCCCAAGACCAAGTGCCACACATGGGTAACCGCTGCGCCGTGGGCTCCGATCATCATTGATGCTTGGACACTTGAGCTTTTTGTCACCGTACCATACTTAAGGTCTTTACCAGGTACCAAAGACCCCTACAGACTCGAGTTTTACATCATTGTTGCCAAAAAGCTTGGTTCATGAGCACAGGATGGTGTTTAAACACATGCAATCACTGGTGCTGTTGTCTGACTCCCTGCTTTCCTGCAGGTCAAGATCATGAACAAACCGACTTTAAGTCTGCTGATAATTACTATACAGTTAGGGCGAGCCAAGTATCATAAAAACGCAGTCGGGTGAGCATACGTCGTACCCCTAGACGCCCTTATTGAAATCCTTGTTTCCTGTCCACTCAAACTGGGATTTCGACGCAATTCAAGCTCACGCATATAAACATCAGTTTATAATATAAATTAATGAAAATTTGCCCTAAAGAAATAAATGTTTTTCTTAATTTCATGTGAATTGGCTCCTTTACTTATTTTTCAATTTGTATTTTCACGGTTAGACTGTAGCAGAGCAATGGAAGGAGTTGCAGGGCTCTGATCGAAGCCTTTCCAATGCTAGGGACCTTCTTGGCGAAATGAACAAGGTTTGAGTGGATTTTACCTAATTTTGACAACTTAAATAGACATTACTTGGGGAGTTTTTACCTTTTCTTGTAGACAATCAAGGAACTGACAGTGCAACTCTCCTTGGAGAAAAACGAAAAATCGAAAATTTTGGAGGAGCATAAGGTAAAAAAGATTTTTCAAAGCGGAAAATTGCCATTTTTTAAAGGTATGTTGTGATCAAAATGATGCCCTCGCACGACTGGAGGAGGAGAGTAAAAAACTCGAAAAATTACAAGGTTTATAACCTCAACGTTACAGTTTTTACTTAAATTCATTCAGTAGTATTAAGTTCCTCTTTATAATATAGAGAAAATGTCAATTAACAACTCAGCCTTGAGCAATGAAGTCAGTGAACTTACATCCAAGTTGAAGGTTAGTTGCTGTCCACTTGTGACTTAGCTCTGGTAGTTATGGATTTGTTTGTCTGTCTATTTGCCATTCATCCTTTAGGCTGTCCGTCATGTATCCCTCCACCCTGTATTAGTCTCGTATCCTTCCATCCATCCTGTAACCATCCATCCATCCTGTGTCCATCCGTCCATCCATCCTGTATCCATCCTGTGTTCATCTGTCCATCCACCCATCCTGTATCCATTCGTCCATTTATCCTGTATCCATCCATTCATCCATCCATCCTGTGTCCATCCACCCATCCTGCATCCATCCATCCATCCATCATCCCTCTAACTACTCAACAATCTACCTTTATATCTGTTAACCCTTTAGTCAGCAGAAGAAAGTGTGCGAATAAAGACAATACAACTTGACGATCAATTAGACACGATAAAACAATTAAAGACTGTAAGTGTCTTCCACGTTGTTTTCTGGAGTTGTATTGTGTAATGGTATGATTGAGTGTTTTTCGTATGTTTCAGGATCTTAGCGCTGAACGCGACAAAAGTAAGGAACTGGCGAAATTTAAAGAAGAAAATAAGCAACTACAGGTAGTCGTTTTGATTGACAGAATTTCTATTGCAAATTTCTAAGATACTGTCAAGCTTATTTTCTCTTTCACCTTTTTAAAGTCTGCGATTGACCGTTTGACTGGTCGAAAAGATGAAATGAAGAGTCTCATTCTTGAGTTGCAAAACGAGAATGAGTAAGTCTCCATCCAAGCATATTCATTAATGGTCTCGAGCCTTTATTGTCAAATTTTTTTGGCCGTCCGCCTGTGGAACATTGCATCCGCCATCGTTGCTGGGGCTACACCCCCGGCGCTCCTTGTGATCACTTTCTTGATTTGGGTGTCGCACATTTTAATCATGTATGGGAGAGGAACGAAGAGACTCGCAAACACCACCACCTCTGCTAGGCGAGCTTTGGCTCATGAAATGGTAAGCCTCCGCAAGGCAACATGTGGAGCTAGCTAGCAAAGTATACCTCTTAACTTGATGACCTACGACCCGGAGCCGACGAGACTGGTGACTAGGCCACCTCTCTACGACGTCTGGACTTTATATTTGGTTGAAAAATTTAGGCTTTTCCACTTTAATAGGGTTTATTTGAGTCCCTCATTCTTTATAAAAGCTTTATAAGGTCTGTGGGGTCTGGTTATAGCAACTGTCGATACACCGAAGGCTCGATAAATTACCATCCGAGGGGACGCCAACGTCTTTTCATTGCACCCTATAAGCGAGTCCTGGAAAGGAAATTTTGCCTCCCCAGGGATGATTTTCTGAAACTGTTCAAGGCATGAAATGGTGATGTTTGTCTTTGATGAGACTTGCGTCCAAAATCTCCCAAAGTCATCCCTCACATTGAACTGTGGAAGTAGTCGGAATTACCCAATGGAGGTAGTCACTTGATGTGCTCAGACATCCAACTACCCCTCATTCTTCTTCTTCCCTTCCCCACACCTTCACCGTTCCCATCTTAAGTGAATGTTGTAGTTCGCCTCCAAGTTTGCTAACTCGAGAACCTTTCCAGTTCCCTCAAAGGCGAAATACTGGCTTATCAAGATGAGATTAACTACATAAAAGAAAAACTTTGCCGTAAGGAGAGTGACTGGTCGGAGCGCTGTGCTCAGGCTGAAAAGGAACGGGACGAAGCATTGGCCAGATTGAGGTTGCTTGATCTATCTCTTGAAAAGCAAATCCTTTCCTTCCTGTAACAAACACCTATTTTACCTATTTAGAGAATTGTCGGAGGAGATGAAAGAGCTGGCAAGAAACTGCAAAAGTCGGCTCGAAAGCGCGGAGACCGCTTTGAGTGAGCAAGCGAAAGAGGCGAACCAAAGGCTGCTTGAGACGCAGGAGGCAGCCAATCAGCGCATTTATCAGGTCAGTGACCTGAAGGGAAGGTAGTAAATAAGGCCTCCCGTCTCCCATTGGTTGATTTTACCGGGGTGGAGCAAGGTGAAGTCTCGTTTCTAATTTGTCGTTTTTTTTTCACCTCAGCTGGAAGAGGAGATGCGCCAGATTCTGCTAGAGTCAATGAATATGCGTGGAAGAGTCGAGACAACACTGAAACATTTGGTTGGAGAACTGGGCTATCAATGTTATTAGACTTATAATGTACTGTGTAAAAAAGAAAAAAGTTTGGAAGTTTTTGTGACTTTTGATCTACTGAACTTCATAGGTAGTATTTCCCCTTGAATTTTCCCGCATGTTTAATAAAATCTCAGGCAAGATATCACACTTCTTAATTAACCTTGACTGTTGGTTATCCAAACAGTGTGAAAATTAAAAGTAATCACAAAACTGGAGGTTTTAATGCCTGAAAGAAACTGTACCTACGAGATTCCAGAAGTACCATTCACTTACCTTTATTGTAGCCGGTGACTTGAATTCGTGCATTGAAATGTCCTAACCTCCAAACGAACTGGCGTAACAGGAAGCATTCAGGCCGAATGTCAACTTTTGCCAGGCATGGACCCTGTTCAACTCCCAACCAAGCGGTAGACTGTGGAAATAGGGACGGACCTTCAATGTCAACAACCCATCCAGAAGGCGGTACCTGTGTTCGCGATCGCTGACTGAAGGGCACTCCGTCATGGGGATGGTTGGCTCCATTTTCTCGCATCTCTATCCTTTTTATCCACTTTCACCTTCTTGTGGATTGTCACACCATTCAAGTGTGTCCACGGAATAATGATCAATCAAGTAGATGTCGGCTAGAACGCTGCCTGTGAAGTGTTTCAGGAGTTTTGGAAAAAGAAAATCGGTGGATTGTGTTGATTTCGATTGATTAAGAAATAACCAAGGCCTTCACTGCCTCGTCTCTGATATCAGCTTCCTTGTCTCAACCACTACTGTATGATGGTTTCTGTCACTACCTGCTACGCTCTCCTCAAGGTCTCTCTTCCCCCACTATCCAGACAAACTCGAATTGCATCAGATTCGAGGGACGATTTATGTGACAGGTGGAAATACGAGTACCTCTCCGAGAGACTGCTGCGTGTCCATACTTTGCAATGTATTTAAGCAGTCGCGCACTTTTTTGACAAGTTGCTGTCAAGCTGAGCGATCATTTTTTGATCATTTGGTAGATGAAGCCAAGGCCCTGAAGGCTAGTAAACACCATAAATTACAAAAAACTGGAAAAATTTCCACCGTTTTAACCTCTCCTTGCATTTTTTAAGGCTGAGAACTTCGATTTTGCTCCTTTCTCCTCAAAAAGTAGGTCAATCAAATATACTTTTCAAAGCACTGTTTTTTACACATTCTATTTAAAATGGACTTGGGTCTATAAATACCCCTCCGGCTCTCATATTGCTCTCTCCCCCCTTCAGGGCTGGGTATTAAAACTGACCTACAATGGAGTTGGCTGTCCGTGAAGTAATATCAGAGCCCAATTGGTTAGACTCATCCCCCAAGACAGATTGGAGACAATTCGTCCTCCTAACTTTTTAATGCATCTCATGAGATATTAATGGGTGTACTCTTTGTTGTAAATCCTCTTTCTCTACAGAAAAAAACAAGTAGACTGGATGGAGGAGGGTAAGGGTATTCGAGTGCCTACCCTCATGCTTTTCCACTAGTTGCCTAGGCACTCGACAAACTATTTTACCCTAATCAGGAAACGGAGTTGGCTTCGCCGTTAATTCCACCTAATTGTCATTCTAGTGGAGATGTCTGCAGCCCCAACAACTGTGGTCCTTCTTTTGAAAACGCCAGAAACACTTTACGGGCAGCACTGTTGTTGGGTCCACCTTGATTGGTCATTAATGCGTGGACACATTTGAAGAGTATGATGATCTGCAAGAAGGTGAAGACGAATGAAAAGGATGGAGATGTCTGAGGATTGTTCCGACCATTCCTCATGACTTCGATGACCATCGCCATGATGAAGTACTCTTCAGTCAGCGGACGCTGTTTACGTTCATAAGTAGTAGTTTACAACCCATTTATGGGTGTGGAGAGCATGCAGACCTTTCAGGCAGCCCCTAGATGGCTCAACAGGGGGGGACTACAAGAGAACGATATTTGTCCTTCCAAGTTGACAATAGCTGTATTTTCATCTGCTAAATATCAAACTCAAACGTTAGAACAAAGGCCTCTGCTATAGATGGCTGAGGTTGTGGAGACCCCCAACGGAGGGTTTTGATGAGCCACATCCTCTTCCAATACTTGTTCTAATCTTGCACTCTTCAAGAAGGTAGGTAGCAATTATAAAACGACAGTGGAGTGAAACAATTTAAGACGGTCACTATGAGGATGTCTGCTGATATGGAGAATGGGGAATTAAATTAAGGCAGATGGCTAGGCGGCTGCTTTTTATTAAACAGGGCTCCTTTTAGGCATACTTCCCTCAGAACAGCCTTCGTCCGCACCAGATGAGCGGTCTGCCAACGTGGAATTCACCAGGGGGAAGTAGCTGCAGTCTCTTTTTAATTGCCTCGATGGATTTTTTACGTTAGAATCGCAGATCCCCTCACTTAGGCGGATAACATGGTGACATCCGATGCAGGAAAGCGAATCTGATAGGGAGCATCGTCAAAGGAACCGAAAAAGTGATGTCCTGCATTACGTTTTAAGCTCAAATGAATTTGTTCTTCAATCCTGATGGGTTTTTGTCGCCATCTTGGTGGCATTATTTCTGTTAATAGTGCATGATCACTTCGCCGCAGTCCCAAAAAGTCCTCTCCAAAGTTATACAGCCTTATATCATCAAAAGGGAAGGTGTACGTAAACTTTCCAAGAATTAGGTCACAAACTCTGGCCAGCGGTGCGCCTTTTCCTTCCAGGATGATAGATCTTTCCCCAAAGTAAAACAGACAGTCGGTGAGACAGAGTCGGTCGGATGACACTTGGCTGTTTGTAACGGAAAAACAAGTATGCGGACCTTACAACCGAGGACTCTTTAGACGCAAAAAAAACCGAGATAAATCGGACTTGGTGGTAGCCCAATGATTATCCAATGTCCTCAGATGGCATTTAAGAACTCTACGTACTCGTACCATGGAAGGTTCTTTTGACATCACTGAATTATAATGTTGACGGTGGCTAATTTTCGCGGTTAACACTGGGAAAGTACCTTTAGTGGATGCAGATTTACCACTACTGTTGAACCATCCTAGGACAGTCAGCCTGCTCCATTTCGTCATCAAAGCTGAAACAATACACCCAGGTCTTGTTGCCTTTAGCCACGCGATTGAGAACCCCTTGCCTCGTCAAAGCACTTCTTGCTTCAACTTCTTCCACCAGCTTTCAGCTCTTCGTGTTGGGCAAAGCTGTGGGATGCCTTGATGTTTGGCGGGTGACAAAGTAAATTATTCGCGAAGGCCACTGAAAGTCCCGTTTCTCGTGGGATTCCACTGAAGGCTAAGTGGGAATCAGGAGTTCGAGATCAGGATCGAAAGCTCCATGGAAACGACAAAAGAGATGGTGTTCGGGAATGCTGGAAAACACTACATTCGGGATTATCAGCAACGTGCAGACACCCACTTTCACTTTGTCCATAGATGAAAAGTAGCTACGAAACCCATAAGGGAGATGTACCAAGGTTAGCCAATGTGCCATTGCTTGCTTTTTACAACCGGAGATGGCACTTCGTCTTCAGCCAATGAGAATGAAGTCCAGATAATAATTGGATTGATGTGGCAAGCACAGAGCGCTGGATGCGAAATTTGAGCCTGACTTACTGAAATCGAAGAACGGCAGTTTCTGTAGGCTTTACGGAGAAGATGGTTGGAGGATCAAGACATAAAAGGCATGCCACCATGATGGTAGCAAGTGTTATGTGTGCCTGTCACGAATCGGCGCAATTTAGACACCGTTAAACATGACACTAGACAGGGAGACAGACAACGGTGTACGTTAGACACTGCGTGATCATAAACAGGCTCATGCCGACTAAGGTGTACATATCAAAGTCTTCCGGCGCAATGCAGCCGAGGCGGGGTAGGGCATTGACACAATTCAAAGGAGGCAGGTTGTATATCTGTGCGTCAATGGAAACCCTAACTGTAGTGCTTCTCAGGGTTCCGAGTGTATATTTTGAGCAGTCAGACCTGTGAACTTTTGGCCGACTAGTAGAATATCAGATGCTGGTCCCCAACCCTTTAATCACGTCAAGTTGTATCAGTGGGGAACACAGGATGATTAAGCCATGGTGACAGAAACTTCAAAATCACAGCTTTCTAGTTAGTAGGTAGGACCTAATTTTTGGAATCTACGTGCATCAGGAGACAATGTGGCAAGTGGAGTTTCAGTTTATACTCCTTAAAATGCGTTATTTTCAGCAGCCCACCCACAAGTCCCGGCTTGACCTGAACACTGTTGATTAAATTAAGTCCGTTTATCCCAGCACTTGATTCACCGCCTCAAATTAATTTATCCGTAGGAGTTCAAAGCAGTCAATTTAGGGTGCGGTTCGCAAATCCTTTTTTAAAGACAAAGTCTATCAAAGGGAGGTTTTGTTGTTTACAGCACCGTCTGCCTCTGCGTCGTAGCCTACGCATTATCAACTCTTGGATTAGTGCCAAGTTATGGAAAACAAAACCCAATTTATAAGTGAAAAAGGGGATTTGAGGGTCTCTTTTTACTTTAATCATGTGAGTGTTTCAAGCAGACAAATTCCACCCAAGCGAGGCTTATTAGGTAAACACTGACCATCCCAGTATGTGCCTAGTTCTCTCATCAACGGGGCAGTGGATTCTTTTCTGAGATCCTAACAGCGAGCGCGCTGATAAGCAATACATCATGACTTAAGGCGAGTTGAATTAGAGGCTAAAGAGACCCGACTGTGGACACTCTTGAGGTCGCAATGCGGCTGTCACCATTACCGACAAGTCGGGGAAAGTCGGAAGTGTGGTGTGTGCGTCGGTGAATACCTGCTGAATGCCGGAGACACGCGGCGTTCCCCTTCTCGTGTGTTAATAGTACTTTGGTTGGCTTTGGCCTCATGGGGATTACTGACACTTTTAAAGTCCACCTGTACGCGATGTTGGTCAATCGGGGGGAGATGGTGAGTTCCGCAGCTTTCCAGAATGTTCCATCTACCCTTCTAAGTGTCACATTTTATGGTGGGTAATGATTTGAGAAGGAAGGCTTATACCACCGCG